CTTACACATCCTACTTCTGGAAGCAAGCAATAGATAGACAAAGAGGCAGATTTCTAGTGCAGACAACAGTGTCCAGGGGTTAGCAACCATGTAGTCAGCAATGCTCTTCATTCATTACATAATGCAATGTGGGCTGGAAAGCCGGCCACTACCCTCTGGCTTACTTACCAATATAATTTAGGAAGTGGTCAGTATAATTTCAACCTCTTTGCTATTTAAATGTTAAAGTGGTATATATTATAAGACCTGGGTAAACCAATGCTTCAAAAACACTATGTGGTTTTATCAATATTTCCTGAATAGTGTCTTAGATGTTACAGAAAGCCTTTCAAGAAAAAAAATCAAGAACCTTATAACAAAAAATCCATTTGCTTTCCACCATTTATTTTAAAGTGGATGATACTTAAAAGTTATTACCCTTTTGTTTTGTTTTTAAATCACTAATTCTGTTTCCTCTCTTATAGGTTTAAGATCTCGGTTTTTACAAATATCAATTATAGCACAAGAACAATTTTTCTACAAGTAAAAGATGACTGTAAAAAACTGGTCGTGCAACCCAGCTACCTCTAGAACAATGGAAAATTGGGGAGATTGAGCTTCTCCTTTTGAAAGATGAGAGGTTCAGAAAACACTATCTTCTCTGTTTTTTTTTTCTTTCCTGAATCCTTTTTTCCTCCAACAAGAAAATTACTTCTAATTTTCATAAAACTAGAAAAACATCTAATTTTTCACAGTATTTAAAAATATTGAGAAACGGTCATTGATTTCTAATAAAAAGATGTTAATTTATAGTTAGAATTTTTCAGAATGGAAACCTAGTTTTCTGTCACCCAAGCGAAGCATTTCTGCCTCTTCATTAAGGAATCAAAGACAACATATGACATAATCAGACTGAGGGCTACAATTTTTTTTTTATCTTCTTGATCAAAAGGTCTACCTAAAAGTCCTAAAAACAATTCCTTTCTTTCAGGTATTTAACTTGTAACCACAAGTTTACTGCTCCCTACAGCCCAATTTATACTGATGAATAGCTTGCATAAATAATTAAAATTTACATAAGGGAAGAAATCCTAATTATGTTCCATAGATCTAGTAAGTACATACTTGAGGCAGGGACCTTGTAGGAGGCACTGCTCAGATGTAATGAACTCATACATTGTCCTCAAGCCCTTCCTTCCTAACAATTTCTATTGATCCCACTAACCAAAAATTTATCTAAACTTAACTGTGGTTGATAACATTAATTTTTCAAAATAAGTAGTACAGAGGAATTTGAATGTTCCCAACATAAGAAATGATAAATGCCTGAGGCGACAGATATACCAATTACCCTGATCTGATCATTATACATTGTATACATATATTGAAATGTTACCCTATACCCCATAAATGTGTAATTACTATGTCAATCAAAAATAAAAATATATTAAAAACATTTTAATCTAAACATTTCTATTGCCCCTTATACTTCTCCCCTTTCCAACTTCTGAAGTAAGAATGTGCTCTAATTTGCTAGAATCACATGTAAAGAATTATTATAATTTCTTTTATTTGTCTACAAATGATCTTAACTTGTCTTGAATCTTAAAACTAAAGAGAGGAATTCTCTACTGGTCTTATTTTGAGATTTGGCTACAAAGCATGTGTGTGTGTGGATATCCATCCTACTCAGTGGCTCTCATTATTTTATTTTATAGACTTTGAATCAACAGTAACAACTTGCAATCCTTTTCTGTAACAGAGTCCACTAAATAAAGAAAATAAAAATCCAATCTCAAGAGGTGTAAAATAACAGCAAATAGGCAATAGTTGCTACTTAAGGGAAGGCAATACTACAGTTTTCCTGGGAAATTGCAGCAGAGGAGTTTGAAACTTTATTGGGAAATTCTAAGGTTTAAAAGCTATACTCAAATATGCCATACTTCTGGCTCCTTTGTTCTGCATCATCAAAAAGTTCTCTGATGGATTTCTAACTGACTGAGATTTCTGTTCATTAGCTACCCATGGGCAAAAATAAATGCCTGATGTGTTCTCTCTCTCTCTCTCTCTCTCTCTCTCTCTCTCTCTCTCTCTCTCTCTCTCTCTCTCCTCTCTCTCCTCTCTCTCCTCTCTCTCTTTCCCTTTGTGTATGTGAAAAAGCAGGAGTTAGTTTGCTTCCTGTGTGTCTTGTCTCTGTGTCTGGGTGGATGCCTGTTTATCTATATGTTTCTATGTTGTGTGTGTGTGTGTGTGTGTGTGTTATTTTTTCTATGTTTATCTGACTCTCACTACAAGATCTGATCTTTTCATAAGAAGAAAAGGACATTGTACCAGGAAAAATTAAAAAAGCCTTTCATGGGGGTACAGGTCAATATACAGTACAAGTCTCTGCTCAATTCTTAAACAGATTGGGAACTGGCTCTTTTACTTTCCTTTGTCACCAAAGCTCTGCCAAAATGTCACCTTCAATGTTGTTAAGTTATGGCCTAACAAAATCTTCATTGTGGAAAACAAAACCTGATCCATCTATCAGAACCCTGAAGAAGTGTTCTGTTAATCTCAATTAAACAATCTCATAAAATAAATATTTCAATTTATCTGTCATATCATATAGAAATGACAACTATGGGATACTCCAACATGAATGTGTGGACTAGTACTGTAATTCTGTATTTCTGAAGAATTCCTGTGAAAGAAGTATGGAGACTTTTCAGCACTTATTAAATATAGGTGTGCACATACATTCACGTTTCAAACACATTTCAAATGAAGCTAGGAGTTTCAAGTAGCTATTCAAAGTTAACCATAGGCAATTAGAGGTGGGATTTTAAAATGCCAAAACAGATAAATTTACACTCACACTTAGTATTATCCATGTAAAGAAACATTAAACCGCCAAAACAATTATGAGCATGAAGCATAGAAAAGATAAAATATTCATCTAGTTGGCTGGTAGACGTAAAATGGAGGCAATTGAAGCAGATATTTCTGGACCATATAAGGTAAACCTTAATTTCATGCTATATTTAAAAGCAAAACATTATAAAAACTGGCTCATAATACCAGACTGTATAAGAAGTTTCAACCCAAGATATTATATTAGTAAACTTCAATCAAGGAATTTTCATCTTCATTCTCTCTACCAAGCAGAATTACAGAGTCTGAGTTTTGTTTCCTAAGGCCTTCTCTGGAAAGTCCTCTCACAGACCAAATTATGTGGAGTTGAAATAACCAAGAGGATGAGAAAGCTGAAATAATACTCATACGTCTTAAGCAACTGATTCCAATAACCTTTAAATCCCCCCAATGACTGGTTATTTTAACAGTAACATTCCTTCATATTCTAAATCTATGTATAGTATTAGCACAAGTAAGTAATGTACAAGTTTAGAAATTACATGCCAGTATGAATTTACATTTTACACTGTAAAAATTGAAAATTCATATGAAATCACACTGGAATGCTAAAAATATTATAGGTATTAAAATGTATACAAGACTAGGTTATATTAGTTTATTTTTTCAACCCAATTTTAAGACAGCCTCTCTAGACTTCTATAACACTGAGCATTGACCAAAGTGGAAGAAATAAAGTCACAAACCTCAGATTAAATACCAGTCAGAGATTTAAGGGAAACCTTATGAGACAGATAGTCCCTAAAACAGAGGAAATATTTGCAAGCCTAGTATTAGAGGAGATTCTAATCTAAGAATCAGTATAATCTACGAAGTCAGAAAAAACATCATTGCATTTAATTACTTATTATCATTTAAGTGTGCCTCTGACTTGCCCACTAGGCAGGAGCTTCTTGAAAACAGGAGAAGTGTCTCAATCACTTTTTTTTCCAAAGGACTCAAAGAGTGTTGATTGTATAAGGCACCCAAATACATATTGTTTCAATGAGTGAATGAATAAACAAGGAATTACAGAACTGCATAGAGTATTTCCACTGCTTTGTTCCAAGGTCTACTGTACTCCATATGCAGAACTGTCTTTCTCCTTTTTCTCCTAGCAAGGGGTCTTCAAATAAAATAACAGGCCTCTGAAGGAAAAACTTTACAGAATACTCCATATATGTTGCTTATATGGTTAAAATTATATAAAGGAATTAAAAACAAGTAGAAGATACAGATTTTAGTAAAAATGCAAAGTTTATAATAGGGTCTGAAACGTGAACTATACAGCTATTCCTATCCAGACTATCTTGTAGGAAGTACATTCCTAAGTGATATTTTAAAGACACTTTAAGACAAAACCTTCATATCAGTAGCCAGGTAGGATGGCATTTTTAAAAATCTCTTCTCCAACTGCATTTCAAGCACAGGAGCTACTGCTTCACGTCTACATTTCTCTGCTTAAGCCAAATGAAATGTATCATATAGATCAATGCACAATGAAAAGAATTAAAAAAAAGGAGAAAGAAAGAAACTTTAAACACAGATTTGACCCTAGTAATTCCTTCCCATTTTTCAAGCACTCTTTTTTTAGGTTAAACTGCAACTACTCTCCCTAACACAGGATATCTTTCAGCTGTGCCAATTGTGACCCAAAGCCCTTCCAGAGACTTAAATCTGATTAAGTAGCCACTTTCCTTTCGCAGCCATTCCCAATTCAAAGGAAATCCTTCCTCAGAGATTAACTCTTAAAAATGTGGTCAGTTTCTGCAGGCTACTTGGGAATAAATATGAGAAGAGGATAAACAGAAAGACAACCTTCATTAAAGAGAAATTTCACTTCTATTCTCCGGATGTACCTATACTCTACCCACCCCACCCCCTTCCCTTGCTGGGGCTCTGGACAGGTGGGAGGCGGGGGAGTATGGCTCCCAGGAAGGAGATCAACTAACTTTCTTCAGTCACCTCACTCCCACCCCGCGCCCACCAAAATCGGGTCCGACTAGTAACTGAAACCTCCAGGAAAGACTCCCTGCATCCCCCTCCCCCCTTAAGAGAGGGATGGGACGGGGGGCGCGCGTGGGTGGGATGGAAGTGGGGGTGTTCTGAACTGCAACTCTCCTTACCACTGGAGCGCCTGACGATGTTCTCCAAAAATGTGTTCTGCGGTGCCACCAGCCCTCTCTTGCCCCCCGGCATCCTGGGTCTGGAGAGCGGCGGCCAGGATCCGCGGCGGGGGAGGGGGGGAAGCAGGAAGAGAAGGTGGAGGAAGAGGAGGAAAAGGTGGAGGAGATGGATCCGAAAGAAGAGGGGGCGCGGCGGCGGCGGCGGGGTCCCCTGACTGTGTCTCCAGCCCGACCCGGATGAGCAGCTCTGGGGAGGAGGACCAGGCAGTTCATGGTAGTAGCGCTCCCCCGGCCGCCGCTGCCCAGACTGTGGCGGTGCCGCACACGGGGCTCGGGAACTGCAGGCTCCGCCGGGCACAGTGCGCCTGCGCCGCCCCCGCTGTCGCTGTCCCGCCGGTGCTGATGCTGAGGCTGCTGCTGAGGCTGCTGCCGCGGCGGCGATCGCCTGGGCGCGGGCTCAGCATTTCTCCCACTGCCCCGCGCCCCGGGGCCAGGGGAGAGAAAGAACAAATTCAAGCCCCTTCTTAGCCCAGATAGAGAACCCTTACTGCGCCTGTCTCTCCGGGTCTCCTAACCCACCCCGCTCGGGCAGCTGGATCACAGCTGCCCTGCGCTGCCCAACTTCTGTTGGGCTGTGCGCCTAGTCGCCGCTCCTCTCTTCGAAGATCGAGGCTAGCGCCCGCTGTCCAATAAACGCTTTAAAGTGGAAGAAGAGAGCGCCAGGGAGGGCAATGAGAACTTGGAGGGGTCACATCTCATTCTCCGGTCGGTATCCTAAGCCACCGCAGCTCCCACGAACGTGGCTCCAGCGGCAGAGGTACCGATGGACTCCCTTACCAGCCTAGGCTGAGCGCGGAGTAGGATCTGACTGGGCGGTGCGCGGGGACGCAGAGCAGCCACCTGACGCTGCTACCGCCCCCCTCCGGGCTTCAGCGCCTGAAGCCTAGACAGAGGAGCTTTCTGCACCCGGTCTACCCCGCAGCCCCGAACTGGAGCCAGATTGAGTCCCAGGGCAGAGCTGGCACCCGGAAGGTCCCTCTGCCCTAGGCTAGGTCTGGCATACTAAAGAGCAAGGATCCTCACAGGGGACCTTCCCCGAAGGCTGCTGAGCGCCAGAGGCGAGCAGCAAGCCTTATCGCCGCGGCAAAGTTGCAGAAAGGGATATCATTTGACGCAAGGAGTAAAGGAAGAGTGTGGATAATCCCCACCAAGCGAGACAGTGGGACAGGTGGCATTTGTGTGGGAAATCAGTGAAGGCTGTGAAGACGAAGCTGCGCAAGACTAGGGCAGGGGCAACCCCCTTTCACCACCGCCGCCACCACCATCATACAGGTTCAGAATCAGTGGAAAGGGTAAAGTGATCCAAAAGCCAGGGATTGCCACGGAGAAGAGAAAATTGCATAAATGCGAATAGAATGGGGAGAAATGGAAAGAAAGTGGGATCGCAAGCCGTGGCACCTTCTTTTAGCTAAGCATTGGTCCTCAAAGCGGTCCGGTCCATACTGGCAACATCAGTATCACTTAAGAACTTGTTAAAAAATGAAAAGTTTGGAGCTTCATCCCAGAGCTAGGCAGCAAGGAACTCTGGGAATGGAGTTTAACCAACTGTTGTTAAGGAGCCTTCTAGTAAACATGTTACACGCTCAAGTTTGAGAAGCCCAGCAAGACTTCCCCTCGGGTGTCTCCACCTGGACCTGTGGACTGTATAGGCAGGGTCAATAAGTGGACCCTGGACACAAAGTGCGCTGGAGTGGAATCAGTGCTTTGTGACAGCAAAGTCTTGGGTGCCAAAAACGAAAGGTTAATTGGATAGATGCGTCCACTTTTGCTGGGTTCAAAATATTAGCGCGAAGTGATCTTGGTCAGGTTGCCAGAAGCAGAAGGCATTTCCTGGGTTGTGGTTGGGGTAACATCTAAGACACCTGCCTTGGGGGGACTTTGTAACTCACCCTTTTACCATCTTCCTCCCCACCTTGCGTGGGCCCACCTTCCTCCTTTACTCCTCCCTCCCTCTCCAGAGCACGCTGGGTAAGGACCAGCGCCAGTGGTCCAGAGATGGCGAAACAGTTAAATGCACAACCAGACTTTAACTTAGGGTCGTTTTTTCCCTCTCCTCTCTGAAATTTCCACCTGCCCAGCCAGATGTTGGGCATCTGAGCAAACCAGAAGGTTGACACGAAGCAAAAAGTGGTTTGTTCTCCTAAGATCCTTGGGGGGGAGAATATATATATATATATATATATATATATATATATATATATATGTAGAGAGAGAGAGAGAGAGAGACACTAGATGTAATAATACTAGACTATTCTAGTTTTCTCCTGAAGCGATGCAGGGAAGGTGAGTGAATCCCCCTACAGCTAGAATGTCTTTTAAATACGTCGGGATGTTTTCAGTTAAATAACAAGAACTCAGTCACAGTTTGGATCCGCTATGTTTAGCTTGCCTCAGGAAAGAGGTTACATCTCCCTCACTGCAGTTTTGTAGGGTGTGCAACAGCCGTAGGGAAACTCAAAACCCACACATCCACCCCAGCCTAAACCACACAGTTGAATTTTTCCCTCTAGTGGGTCTTAAACGACCTGTGTAAAATATCCTAGACTAATCAACCATTCACTGACTGAGATAGTGAACAGACAGGCTTATATTTTTAAAATATACATGTGTATTTTTTCTCACAGATTGCTACCCTAGATTTCTAGCATGGTATGATAATTCTATCATCATCATTAACAGAGAATATTTCAAATCTATATGTTCTTTTGCACATCATCAGCTGCCCACATCTCGCCTCTGGGTATTGATTTAAAATCCCAGCTTCCCAGCATTTCCCATCTAGTATAAATATCCCTGTTCCTAATCATTGCTCTGTGGGTGTATTAGCTCACACTTCCCAAAGAGGAAACTCTTGTGGACTCCATTAAGACACAGTCACACAATTACTGGTAGAACATCCTCCTTTATTTCCATCTACAGATTTAATTACAATGACATTTGTCCTTTCTTCTTTGTCCTTAATAACTGCCCAGCATTGAAACTTTTTGATTATTTTAATATCTGTAAAAAAAGCAATTGGTGGTTATAAAGTGTCAAATTATTGGATGACACACTTTTCTTAGTCTTGCAGTTTAAATTTTTCATTTTGTAAAGAAAGAAAGTGAGACACAGAAAGATGAAATGCTTTGTCCTAGATGACTCAGTGCACTGGAGCACTCAGCTAGAGACTACAATCGGGTCTTCTGACCCTGTAGCCAAAGCTCCTTGTAAGTAATAGAAAATAACCTGAATAGTGGATTAGTTTGGCAACAATCATCAACATCCAGCCATCTCTATTGCTAGAACAGCTCCTGAAGCACAAGAAAGGAGAAGCTCCTGGAAACAACTTGCAACAGCTCCCAATCAAAACAGAGTTAAGGAAAATACAGCAGCAGCCGTATGGACTGCCTGACCCTAAGGATTGTGCTGGCAGATTGCAGTGAGGTGCCAATACAGCATTTTAAAAAGTGTTTTGCAAACAGACTCCATATGTTGTGACCAAACCACAGGACTTAACAGGTGAGAGAGGAATTTAAAAGCCTCAATGTCATATAGAGGGCTTCTTTTTGTTTATTTTATTGCAAAAACAATCCATTTTAAAGTGAGATCATGTGCCCTTTTTTTTCTGTCTTGTGGTATGTTAATATATTAACTCTATGAAAACCCAGAGTTCCAATCCCTGGAAGTATTTTTAGACTCTGAAGACAAAACAGAATGAACTGCAATGAGCTGAACTGCAGGTGTGTTCCCCTTTAACAGAAACCAATAGAAAAGTGAAGCTTTAGAAAATTTTTATATTAGGAATTTATGATCTGCAATTTGCTGAATGATTTTTTTATCAAACACTCCTCCTTTGAGGATTTTAAAATATAGAGTAATGGCGAACATACTAATGTTTGCCAATATGCCCCTGCCTTTTCTTCTTCCTTGAAATTAGTTGTGGCCACGCAACTGGTGCTGATCAATGAAAGATGACTGGAGGTGATGGGTGTTACTTCCTGGTACAAGCATAGAAAAGCTATGACTCAGTTTCCCATGCTCCTCTTCCTCTGCCTCAGTGACTAAGGAATGCCAAGCAGTACAAGGAGAACTGCTGCCCATATGAGTTGCCTAGATCAAAATTATTTGACAGTAGCTATAATTATACATCCATTTTCAGAAAATCTGATTTAATGTTTGATCCCTTATGTACAAATGGCCCAACCACTACTCTCTGAGGGAATGATTTTTCTCCTTTTCCCTGCTCTCTTTTTCTAAGTAAATCCAGTACAGAGCCAGGGTGCAATCCAATCGACAGATGCTGAATGGATGACTGGTGGAGGAATGGAAGGAAGGGAAGAAGGAAAAGGTCAGAAGTCACTCTCCAGGGTTGGTCTCAGAAACAGCAGCATCAATCCATTCCACTTCCTTCTCCCCAAACCTCACTTCATGCCTCCCTTCTAGAGCACTAGCAGTGCCATATACAAGCATTGCTTTGTACCTTTGAATGCACAAAGTCCTGCACTTAAACTTACACTTCCACCTCCACACTTTCCTCTCACCCCATACAGGATCTAAGCTGGGAGCAAGCAAAACTAAAGAGGCTCAGCAAAATGGGAGCTCAGCACTTTGACTCTGGACCTAGACTGCCTGGAATTAAATCTCATCTCTGCTACTTACATGACTTAGAACAAGTTATTAAACCTCAATTTCCCCTTCTGAAAAAAATCAACATAAAATCAGCTACTTAATAGGGCTGTTATAAGGATTAAATGAGCTCCTATTTGAAACCCATTAAAATAATATCTGGCATGCAATAAGTACTATATAAGGGTGTGAAAGTAAATATATAAGCCTGTTCTTTCCCTCTACTTGTATTTCAATAAAGGCCCTGTGTAGGTGGTGGTCATTACTAATGTTCATCGATATCCAGCTTCCTTTTCTTCTTCCTTGAAATTAGTCGTGGCCATGCAACTGGTGTTGACCAACGAAAAATGACCAGAGATGATGGGTGTTACTTCCTGGTACAAGCATAGAAAAGCTATGACTCAGTTTCCCATGCTCCTCTTCCTCTGCCTCCCTCAGTGACTAAGGAATGCCAAGCAGTACAAGGAGGACTGCTGCCCATATGAGTGGCAGTAGACATTATATAAGCAGAAAACAAACTTTCATTGTATTAAGACACTGAGATTCTGCAGTTTGTTACTGTCCTATAACATAGCCTATTCTAGCTGATATCGTTTCTGAACTTTATTTGGACATAGGAAATTAGAAGAACAAAAATTTTCTCCTTGACTGACCTCAAGAATCACCTGGGGAGCTGGGGAGTTCAAAAAATCTCAAAGTCCAAGCCATAGTCCAGATCAACCAAAACAGAAGATAAAACACTGACGTCAGTTGTTGTTGTTGTTGTTGTTAAGTTCTCCATGTGGTTTCAATGTGCATCAGGATGGAGGGTCACTATCTAGGACAATGCTCATTCTAGGAGAATCTCTGGGATTTAGATATTGTGCCAAGAACCTCAGCATCCAAGATGGTTATGAAGACTTAGCAAAACCCAACTCTAACATACTCAGTTCTTTCAGCATTTGTAGCTGCTGAGAATCTCAGGAGAGAATCACAAAACCTCCAAGACTGATGAGCCGTAAATTCCAGACCTCCAAACTGAACCAGACCCTTTCCATGCACCCAGTTCTATACTCCTCGATCCACTGCGCCTTTAGTTCTCTGCAGTAGCTTTCTCAGTGCTTGTGTCTCTTCACACTTCAGTTGTCACCCTCTCACCTCCCAATCTCAGAAGATGACTCACAGAGAACAGGTCATGCTGTCAATCCTTAGACTCTTGCCTTTGTTC